AGGACGGCTAGCACGAACCATCCCATCAAAACAGTCCTGACAGAGGACGTGTTGTCCACATGTCAAAAACACGGCAGGACGTTCATCACAGTGCGGCATCATACAGTTCTGATAGCGTCCTTGGGCACAATAGGGACAACGTATATCTGGGTGATAGGGATGTGTACAATGAGGAAATGTTGAACACCCTTCAGGACAGACGGCGGCAGTCACAATAGATTGATAATGGCTATGGCATATATGATGCATTCCACAGCCAAGGCGCACCGCGTCTCTGTCCCGACAGGCGTCACATGAGAGTCGGTCAATAATCCAGAATAAAGAATGATTCGACAACGCTCGCAAAAATTCATTCACGTCGAAAATGACCTGACTCATCGTCCCACCATCCCACAGTTCCCACTGGGCAGCTGCACGAAYGAGTGCCATATAATGCCCGGGTCTATGTAAAATACAGGCAAAAATATGAGGATGGTTATTGAGGTCATCGCCTGGCGTCGCATGATGCATAAGAAGGTGGCGACCGTGAAACGCTAACTGTAAGACATTTACAGTAAAGCCTCCTGAGGTAGTATAGTTACTACCTTCTGCAGGTGGACTTTTATGGTCAAGCAACAACTGATTTTCAACAGCGTCAAGCTGATACGCAATCGACTGCTTCATCGCTGCTCCAGAGACATCCACAGAAGCCAGGAAGAGAGAGCATCCTGCTCTTGCTTTCTGCCTTCGGTCCAGTGGGCAGTGCTTTCTGATGGTATTAATAAATACCTCTGTGTCTGTGTGTGTGTGTGTGTGTGTGTGTGTGTGTGTGTGTGTGTGTGTGTGTGTGGGTACTTTTTGATTTCGTCTAGTATTGATGTATATATATCGTCATATGAATATACATACATATAATATATCGTCAATATATATAAAATATATTGTCAAATAGAGCTGCCCGGTAAACCGTAGGAGTTTCACCTACCTACTCATCAGGAGGCTGAACCCTCAAAAACAGTCTGCACAATCCCCTACCTAACTGATTACACCAGTAAATGATAATCCACCTTAAACCCGGCTCTGGTTAAGCATCAACGACTGCCCGACAACTGATCCCCCTCTGAGGTGGTGGGGACCACCAACCACTGCCCTCAAGGTACCTGTGACGAAACTCAAAGCAGACTCACTCACTCACCCACACCAGATGGAAAACTCTACAGACTGTCGATCGGTTCACACCCCATCACAACCAAGCAAAACACCCACGAAACAAAGAAAGGTCTGTCACAGCCATAAGGATACTCTCCACACACGCCGCTGGCACTGGAGGCACAGCATGGCCGCGTAGCGACGGCCATACACCATCATAGAGAGAACTGCCCGGTGAACCGTAGGCAGCGAGGGAGAAGAGGACAACGAACGAGGGACTGACAGAATATCTCGTTGCAGTTTCACCGACTCATCAGGAGGCTGCTTACATATTTCTCGTTAAGCGGAACTTCCCGGTACAGTCCTTCGGGACATCCGTTAAAATTGGAACGATACAGAGAGAGAAGATTAGCATGGCCCCTGCGCAAGGATGACACGCATAAATCGAGAAATGGTCGAAATAAAAAAAAAAAAAAAAAAAAAAAGAGCTTCCCGGTACACGGTAGGCAGAAAGGTAGAAGAGGACAACAAACGAGGGGCTGTGTGTGACAAACTGTTCCGTCGGAGTGTCACCGACTCATCAGGAGGCTGATATACACACAGTATGACGAGTAATCTCGCATACGGCACGTTGATGCACCGAAATATAGGTAGATACAACTCTCAAAAGAAGACAAAAGGAGAAAGAAGCAGACAAAAGAAGACCAAAAAAAAAACAAAGACAAAGAACTTAATATTTATAATAACACTGTAGGACCTGTCACCTGGGCTTTTTATATCTCTTTATTTTCTCTTTCTTGGTTGGGGGAGGGAGGGCAGGGAGGGAAGGTGTCGTTAGGGGGAGGGAGGGAAGAAGATTAAACAACTTAAAATAAAAAAAACAGAGGGCAGGTGCCGTCATCAAGAGCTGGCTACCGACGTGAAACCTCCTCCCACCACGGCAGCAGCACCAGGCATGAGATTGCCAGCTGTGGTACTTGTGGTCCCGGCCGGGGTAATCATGAAGCCGCCACCTGTCCCACCTGTCCCACCTGTGCCGCTCGCCGTCCCGACTGGGAATCGGTTGTCCCTGAAGCACACGAAGTGGGACAGGGTACCGCTAGGGTAAACTGCGAAGACGCTGTTTCCAATCCTCTTGTGACAGATGGCACAAGCCCGTTCGTTACTGACGTGGACCACGCGCTTGCGGCTTTGCGCCAGCGCATCGCGCACTTGGAGACTCTGGCTGTTCCTCAAATTCTTCACGACCAGAGCGTTCCTCCTCAGCTCGCTCAAGGTAAGAAACAGCGGCTCAAGGAAAGGCATTACGCTCTGCAACAGCGTATCGCTGCTTAGCAGAGTCAAAGCCTGCATCCCATCAACGCGATTCCATCGTCTTCTCATCAGCTCCAATGCCTCAGATAGCAAGATGACCCCTCCTCCTCCTCCTCCTCCTCCTCTTCCTGCTTCTCCTACTCCCGCCGCTACTCCGACTCCTCGTCCGTTCTGAACAGCAAGGCCACTCTTGGAAACAGCACCATTAGCCGTTGACGACTCCAAAAACGAAGAAGGAGAAGAAGAAGAGGAAGGACGGGGAGAAGGAGCAGGAGAAGGAGAGAGGAGTGTTCCGCCAGGGGTGGTGGCCTTTGTTGCCCTTCGTTTGCCCTCCGCCCGCGACGTAGTCGCGACTGGCGATGACGGGATCATAGCACCAGAACGGGAGGGGGAAGAAGCAGACAGAGGAGGAGGAGGAGAGGAATAAGAAGAAGGAGAAGGAGAAGGGGAAGGAGGCGCTAACAGAAGGGTTTTCCCAGAAACAGGAGGGTTGTTCACGGCAACTGACATTCGCCTTCTGCCATCGGGCGTTTTGACCCCTTCTCCCCCCCCTCCTCTTCCTCCCCCATCTCCTCCTCCTCCTGCGTCCTCTCCTACCGTCTGAATGAGTGCAAGCTTCTTGAAAGAGGAGTTGCGCGAGGTGGAAGGAGAGTTATCAGATCGACCACCTCCTCTCCTAACACCTCCACTCATCTCCTCTTCTGACACTTCAGAAGTCGTGGAGTTCGCCGTTCCTCTGCTCTCAAAACCACCTTCTCTTCGTTGACGAAAAGATGGCACTCTTCCCCATCCTCCTCCTCCTCCTCCTCCTCCTCCTCCTCCTCCTCCTCCTCGAGTAAGCTTACGCTGATCGCTACCCGCCACAACCCTAATCCTATCACCCATCTTACCTCCCGCTCGTCCTCTTCCCCTTCCTCCTCTTCCTCCTCCTGCTCCTCCTCCTCCTCCTCCCCCTAAGGAAACAGCAACAACAGCTCGGCCTCTCTTCACGGGAGTCTGAACCCTTAGCGGATTCGCCATCGCCGCCGCGACTAGCTCCGCCGATCTCAATGGGTCCAGATACAGACCAAGCAGCACCTGGTACAAGTCCAGTCCCTCTTTTCTCTCCTTCCCCCCTCTTCCTCCTATTCCGTTCTCTATCAACGGGTAATCCCCTGCCTTTGCGCCTATCATCACTCGACGGCTGCCTGCCGCCACATCAGATGACGACGCACTGGAGTAGCATTCATCGAACACTTTGTCGCAGTAATTCTCTGCGGCCTTGGTATCACCCATCTTCCTCACATAGATCGCCAGCACGTGAGAATGCCTTTTCAAGCTAGCAAGCAGAAGAGCTCTCTCTTCATAAAGCCCGTCTGCTGGCAATCGAGACAGAATCTTGTCAGGATCTAACAGGGTGGTTACTCGCAGAATTGCCAGAAGCTTCTGTCTCGTCGGAGACGGGTGTTTTTCATCCCACTGGCCTTCCTCCTCCTTCACCTCCTTCTCCTTCTTCTCCTTCTCCTCCTTCGCGTCCTTCGCGTCCTCATTGCCGTCCTTTCTTCCCTTCTTCTCCTCCTCCCTCTCCTCCGCCTCCTTCTCCTTCTTCTGCTCACGCCTTTCCTCTACGCCGCGACGTTCGTGCTCTTCTTCATCTTCTTCTTCTTCTTCCTCCTCCTCCTCCTCCTCCTCCTCCCCCTCATCATCATCATCATCATCATCACCATCGCGTACTCGTTGGTTTCTTCGCCGACCACGATCGCTGCAACGCTTTTTCTCTTCCAGAACTCTGTCAAGATAAAGCTGCACTAGTTCATTATATAAATCGGCGGGAATGGCCACTTGATGATGATGATGATGATGATGCTTCCCGCCCGGCCCCCCCCCGCCGCCTTCACCTTTCCCCCTGATTCCGATAGCCATCATTCTCTCGAGATAGGCAGCTTGTAAGAGGGGGGCGTTCTCTCGCAAGTGTGCGAGCACCACACCCGCCGGCAGCGGGGGTTCCAAGTCCATCAACAACGACTCTAGGGTCATATCCGGATCCGCTTTGAGCAGCCACTTGGAGTACTCGAGAATCAGGTCGGTGTGATTACCAGAACCCAATTCTTTCAAGTACTTTATGCTGCTCATGGGGCTAGTGAGCTCCTCTCTCTCCTTAGGGTTCCGCGAAGATGACGTGAGCAAATCAGGCTGCTCCCACAGCTTGTGCAACAAGTCCAGCGCCCGCTCATGCATCTCTGCGCGCCTGTACAGGGTCAAGAGCTCCGCATAATGCCCGCGCTTAACCAGCGCTTCCTCACAGATTGACACGTCGCAATAATGCCCATCCAGCACCTGATGCAGCCAGCCGCCATAAACAGAGCCGGTGGAGGAATTACCCCCGCCAATAGCAATCTGGACCACACCCCCACCCCCACCCCCACCCCCTCCACCTCCCCTGCTGCTACTGCTGCTAGGGCGTAATGCAGAGGAGGGAGGGGGGGAGGACGGCGAAGGCGGAGGCGCGCTAACTTCTAAAAGAACCTGGACGAGGGCAGTGTCCAGAACCTTAGCGAGCGCGACCGCAGTCCCACCTGTCCCTCCTCCTACTCCTCCTCCTCCTCCTCCCGTGTCCCGATCCCCACTCAAGCCCACGGAGGCGTTCATCTCTTCGACTTCGGCGGCCTCGATGACAGCAGGGCGGCGACCCATCAGATACCCTAGCAGCGCGCCGAGCGTCTTCATCAATTCCGGGCCTTTCAATTCCCCCACCCCCGCACCCCGCTTCCTCTGACCCCCCGCTTGTTCCCCTTCCTGGCCATAATCTCCCTCCTCCTCCTCCTCCTCCTCCTCCTCCTCCTCCTCGTCGCTCCCCACCCCCGACTCCCCCCACTCCCCGCTCCCGCCGCCGCCACCGGCATCCTCTGCTGCTGACGTGGCGACCCGGCTGTCTCGAAGCGCGCCGTCGCGACCAAAGCGCGCCGACGACGCCAACTGCTTCGCGCACTCCGGCAACACCACTACGCTTCTGAATTGTGACAGAATTGAGACCAGGTTCATCGACGACTTGGAGAACTGCACCATGGCCTCCTCGTACCGTCCCGATCGGAACAGGTGCCGGCCGTATCGGATCCGAATTGCGTCTTCATTCGGTGAACGAAGGGAGGAGGAGGACGCCGAAGGAGGAGCTGGCGGAAGCAGCTTACACAATCCCAACGCCTCCTCGAAATTCCCGGCCGACACAAGTTGGTCGATCTGTGCGTCCAACGGGATCGGGACCACGCGAGAGACGCTGCGATCGGAAGCGATGACCACACCTGGCTCCCCTCCCTTCAGATGAACAGCGCCAGAGTACATCAGCGTCTGGACCAAGGGGTGAGGAGGGAGAAGCGACCTCACCTCTATGAATCGGGATAGGCGACCCAACGCATAAGGAGGGGAGATGACAACAGCACCCGGTGCTTCGGTCCAGCTCAAGCCGCCCGACCTAACGGCTCGGCCGTTTCGATCCACGAAGATGCCGATGTTATCCTTGCTGAGCAGAACTTCACCGTTTGCCGCCGTCACGGCAAGGGGAGGGGCATACCTACCAGCAGGAAAGACCTCGATAACGGCCCCCGTTTGGAAATTGACCATGACATACTCGCGCCTGACACCAAGGCAGACGCTGCTCCCCTCGCCGCACCACGCCATACATTTGACCGTCTCCGCGTAGGGAAGCTCCCTCAGCTCCGTCGGTCTGTTGCCGTCTAGCTGATAGAACAGCAGCTTACGTCGGATCGCGACGCAAAGCAACAGCTTGTCGGGATCCCAAGCGAACATCGTCGCCCCCTTCGTCTTGCCAAGATGAGCGATGAGGTCAAACTCCGGCAACGAGTGGATGAACACGGCGTCCGAAAGGCTGATCACACAGCTGCGAGATTGAATCACCTCCATCTGGATGATGGCGGTTCTTGACAAGCCGCTTTTCGTTGACTTCAACAAATAAGGCTTGTGATGAGCGGTGGCAGCAAAGGAGGCACCGGAAGCGACGGAGAAGGAGAAGGAGAAGGAGGAGGTCCGGCTACCTCCTCCTCCCATGGATTGGGACCGGTCGTGGTGATGACGTCGACCCGACGGCTCATCGTCCTCCTTGGCAGCCGTGGAAGACGACGAGCGGCCATCGCCGGGATCGTCTTGATCGGGACCGTAGATGCGGAGACACCCATCATAACACCCCACCAGAAGTAGGGATCCCCATAGTCCCAAACTCACAATGCGCGACGGACACTCTTGAATCACAGACAACAGCTCAAACGCCGAGTAACTCATCTTCCTTCTCTCTCTCTCTCTCTCTCTCTCTCTCTCTCTCTCTCTAGATATATATATATATAACGGGCAATGAATTATGGCATTATACGAAAAAACAAAGAGGACGCAACCAATCAATCAAGGAACTAATCAAACGCAGCAATGAGGAATTCCTGACGAAAGATAGATCGAATATGATCAATCAACGAAGTAGAATGTTAACCAAATGAATGAAATAAAAAACACGTACGCTACGTCAAGTTTCCAACGCGGCAATCAATCAATCAATCAACCTAATCAATCAATTTCCAACGCGGCAATCAATCAATCAATCAACCTAATCAATCAATTTCCAACGCGGCAATCAATCAATCAATCAACCTAATCAATCAATCAACCTAATCAATCAATCAACCTAATCAATCAATCAACCTAATCAATCAATCAACCAGATCAATCGGCAACCAGTCGTTCCTAATAAAGAACGTGCCCACATACTTTGCAATTCCTCCATTCTCTCATCTAGATTATTATGACGGATGGCTTTTCTGATCAAGTGATCAACTAATTAATCAATCGATCAATCAATCAATCAATGAAACTAATAACGCCAGAATTACGACGGATAGCTTTTCTGATAAAGTGATCAACTAATTAATCAATCAATCAATCAATCAATCAATCAATCGATGAAACTAATCACGCCAGAAGCAATCGAGCTCTGGACATGGTACAAACCAATCAACCCGGGATGTGATCTTTACAAAACTAACATGCGTTCTCATACTAGGACTTTCCCACCTGTTCCTGACCTCAACTGCCGCTATATTCAGTGTCGAAAATACAAGGGTATATATATATCTTATAACGCAAGTGTGACTCCGTCGAGTTTGTCCGATTGACGAACCACGACCATCCCGATCGCGACGATCAAACGCTTGCTACATCTGCACCGAAATCTTGCTTTCACGTCCGTCTCGCCGAGATCGAGACGGCCGAGCAACCACCGCACTGCTGTTCGTTCACAACCGAAGACGAGAGGAGCATCTCTCTCTCTCTCTCTCTCTCTCTCTCTCTCTCTCTCTCTCTCTCTCCGTGTGTTTAGTCATACAAGTCACTAGTTCTGGAGCACCGGTCTCTCCCTCTCTCCAAAGCACCAACCCGTTGATGCTCCATCAAGATCGACGACGATCCCCGGCGAAATGTCTCTCTCTCTCTCTCTCTCTCTCCGTGTGTTAGTCGTACAAGTCACAAGTTCTGGAGCACCGGTCCCTCCCTCTCTCCAAGGCACCGACCGGCTGATGCTCCATCAAGATCGACAACGGTCCCCGGCGATATGTTCCGACACGTCACGGGTGGTTGGCCGCCATAGCTGGGAACCGACAACGCAGTCCGCTAAAGCCGGATACAAGAATTCCGCAATTCCCGCGCGGGCGTTAACGACCGGTAGCGGGACCGGACCGGTAGCGCAAGTCCCGCTACCGGTAGCTTCGCACACAGACTGGTAGTTTCACGGCACCGTCACTGGTCCCGCCAGAACCGGTTCGCTCGGTCCCCGACGCCGTGAGAAACGGCGTCGTCGGCTCACAACCGTGGCACGTGTTGCAACCTCCTTCCTCCACGCCGCCATGTCAGAGACGAAGAGACCAAGGGCTGGATCATGTTTACGTCTGTGCTGTGAGCCAACGATCCCATCCAAACACCAAAACAAAAAGGGGTTTTACCGCTGTACCCCATTTGAAGGTGGGATATCCCGCTATATCCAGTAACAGTGCCCAACTTGCATCTATACCCAGACTCTTGGTTGGGGAGAACAAAATTATGCTCAATGAGCAGAAACAGTGTCATGGAGGATGGTGTAGGAGCCTCATCCCGCCCTACTTAGGGTAAGTAAATGGACGATTTTCAACCTTATTACCCCAGAGGCTCCGGTGTTTGCAGCCCGTCAGGGGTGCTTTATCCCCCCTGAGATATTTTTCGCCGAGACATTTTCGTTGTCCTTAGTTATACCGGTGGTTGATACGGGTTCGTTTGGTCGTTGGAAGGTTCAAAAAATGCAGGCTGGTGCAGGCACGACACTTCGGGGCGTGGTGGCAGTTTCTTTGAAAAATGCGGGACCGGTAGCTGCCCTTGGGTTCTGGTCGAAACGGTGGCAAAGCACCGGCAGGGTGTGACGCGCAACCTCACGCCCTGTGTTGTCTTCCGTTCGGAGTGTTAGCTGTGCGGAAAAGAGGCCTAGAAAAACAGCAAGAAGGGGTGTGCCAAGGATATTTGGAAATTGAGTATGGGAACACAGACGTAACTGAAATCCCCCGTGTTGGTCCGATGAAGCAAGTCAATTAGTTTCGCACGTCGCGGAATGCGCGCGCGGACTTGACGTGAAAACAGAAAGATCAAAATTCAATCCAAAAAGTATTGTCGGGCTTCCCACCGAGCTACAGCCCGTCGTTTA